CCCTCTCCTTTCTGACTCCGTTTATTTCTGATGCCCCGTGTGACCACCGAGAATGAGCCAGGACTTGCGAGTGGGCTTCTGCTTGCAGTGCGTACAGCACTGGCCACCTAGCAGAGGAGCTGTTTAATGGGGGGCTGGCTCTCCTGGGAAAACCCTAGGAGGCACGTTGAAGACCCAGGGCCCCTTCACAATCATCAAGTTCCTCTGTCTTCCTCTTCTCCTCCTCCTCCTTTCCTCCCTCAGTTTCCCCCATGTCTCAGAAGATCCAGGTGTCTTGCCCAGACGAGGGTGCTGGTTACTGTTTCTGATCCCAGGCCCCTCTGGTGGGACGGTGGGCAGTTAAGTCTAGGGCAGACCTGCCAGCACATACCCTCTTATTCGGCTGCAGAGGAATTTGAGGCTGAACACCCTGTCTGAGGTGACAGTGTGGGTATAGCACCCGTGGGGCAGGCCACCATGATCAGATTCAGGGCAGGGGTCCACCCCTGGGGCCCGCAGGCTCCTGGCATAGTGCATGACCAGACGAGGCCTTCTGGCTGCAGTCGCACAGCACGTTAGGACGGATGCCCGTGGCCTGGCCAGGCCCTCTCCGGAGCTCACCTCGCTGTGGTGGCCCGACTTCCTGTTGGAGGTTCAGCCCTGTGGCAGAGCCATTTCATCCCTGAAACAAGGGGAACAAGACTGAGTGACTGTCTATCCGCAGCCCCGCCCCTTCTTCCTCTTTTCTAGTCCAGAGCCAAGTCAGGGGGTTTGTGCGGTGTGGGGGGTGGGGTGAGTCACTCCAGCCACTCACTGTCCCTTGGTCCAGGGGAAGAGGGCCCCTTTGGAGGTCTGCACATGGAGAGAGCAGCCATCTCCCCACCCTGCCTACCTGCATGACTCCCCGTGTCTGCTTATGCCCAGCAGAGGTCTTGCTGCTGTGGAGCTGCAGGCCCACTGGCAGGCCCTGCCCTCTCACTCCTCGGTGCTGCTTCTCTGATGGGGTCTGCGGTTTGGCATTTCCTTCCTTACCTAGTCAGAGCCCCAGCAGCCTGCAGCCTGGCTGCTACAGATACTGGTAAGCAGAGGCACTGCAGAGAGCAGGCTGGGAGCAGTCAGAGCCCAGGGCGAGCTGTGTGGGCTGGGGCACCAAGGTGAAGCTTGCCCATCTCCACACGTCATTGCAGAAGTGTCAGCTTTTCCACAGGGCCAGCTCTGGCCACCTTGTTTTAAACTGCAACCCGACCCCCACTGGGTACTACTCCTCTGTCCTTCTGATTGGCCTCCCCACATGCAGTGACCACGCCGAACACATTTTCATCAAGCTGATTCCTTGTTATTACTGATAGTCATAGATAAAATACTACACATGTGTGCATGCGTGTGTGTGTGTCTTCAGACACCCATTGCAATCGATTGCATTGATTCTGACTCATAGTGACCCTATAGGACATAGTAGAACTGCACTATAAGGCTGTAAATCTTTATAAGAAGGAACCTTGGTTGCGTGTTGGGACACAAACCACAAGGTCAGCAGTTCAAACCCACCAGCCACCTCACAGGAGAGAGATAAGGCTGCCTGTCTGTACCCATAAAGTTCTATCGCCTGGGAATAAACTCAATGGCAGTGTTTTTGTTTTGTTTTATTTTGTTTCACTTTAAAAAAAAAAACTTTTTTTCTTGGATACAAACTGGTACATCTTTCTCCTGAGGAGTGGCTGATGGGTTTGAACTGCTGATCTCTCCATTAATAGCTGAGACCATAACCACTGCATCACCAAGGCCCCTCCCATCAGTAGCACTCACTTACACTTTCCCTTCTTGAAGGGACTCTTTGAGCCTGAACCTGTGTAGCTCAGGCTGATGACCAAACCCTGCTCTCC